TAGGTACCTAATGGTGTATATAAACTGTTAGATGAATTTTGACAATATGCTTGTATTTTTTTTTGTTTTTTGGCATTTATTTAAAAGGTGCTTTATTCATTAATTCCATTGCATTTGATGTAGTCCTACTTAAAACATAATCAAATGTTTTTATCAAATATTGTATGATATTCACCTTTATACTGGTATACATGTATATGTTTATGGTTTTTATAAACAACAATCCTTAATGTTCATTGTATTATTAATACAAATACAAAAGACATCAACAACTCATAGAGTTGCCTACATATTCACTATTACAAGTAACAAAAATAGTGTTATGCAATAAAACGCTGAGTTTTATCTGGTTGTAAATTAATTTGCCCCTAACTATTCTTTGTTTTAATAACACTCAATCTATTATATTTTATTCGAACTATACCAACATTTTTCATATTCATATAAATTTGTACCTAAAATATTGGCATAGGTTAAACATCTGTCAAAAGTCAACAAAATTAAGTAAATCAGACACTTTTAATATATTTTTCTTGACAAATAATTGTCTAAAAACAATAATTTTACATATTTTATAAATAGGTCAATGTGGTTTGCTAATACTTTTTAGAATTCGTACACATGCAAACAATTCTAAGAACAGTGATTTTCCATAATGCAAAATATTAAAGATTAAGATGTATTGATGGTTAAAAGATATCACGCCCCTTTTGAAGTAGATTTTTAAAGTTCATATCGAATTGCAAAGACGAAAATTTAAATAGGAATATTTTTTAGAAATATTACAAATCATTATATCTTTACAGACGGAATGAATAAATGCGGGATTATTCGAATGCCAGAAAGCACGACTGTAAAGTTTTTTTTATTAACACACTTTTCCCGGTTACAACAATTATTCTTTCCTTATGTCACCAATTAAATATTAACAATTCTATCGAAAATTATAATAAAATTAATTAGCAGTCAATTTGTATACGTTATGTTATGAAAAAGACAAATAATATTACTTTGAAAGACCACAAAAGAACATTTTCCAAGCTTTGTCGATTATTTTCATAAAGTGGAGCAACCAATGATAAATACAGAGAAAGTGTGGCCCGTTTTGCACTCGAATATTTAAAATCTTAACACGACTGAACCCGATCTTACAAAATCTTAACAGCATTTTTACATTTGGTCTGATTTGTTCTGAAAGTGATCTGATCAAGTAAATCAAGTAAATTCAGTCGATTAAGACTTGATTAGAATAAAATGACCGTTTCAGACTGAAATATAGTTACTAGTGACAGTAAAAAATGAAAACAACACGTTATAAATTGTATGCGTCCGAATAATGAACGCTCAAAGCCGAATATTTGAAAACCAAGGACCGAAACAGTTGAAGAGCTTTATAACCAAAAAGGACCTAAAACATAGCCAATTATATCAAATACGTACTTTTTTCAATGTAGGAATGTTGTCTTTGCTTTTGTGATCTGAAAAACCTTCTGTAATACACAAAAGAAAGTGTAACTCCATTGATTAATTCTCTTGTATTGAAATGAACTAACATTGATATATTAATTTTCTATACATGGTGTATTACATTGGCTAGAGGTATAGGGTAGGGTTGAGATCCCACAAAACATGTTTAACCCCGCCGCATGTTTGCGCCTGTCCCAAGTCAGGAACCACTGGCCTTAGTTAATCTTGTATGTTTTTTTTTTTTTTTTTTGTTTTGGTGCATTAATATGTTGTACCTTACACAAGTATTCCCCATTACAAACTAAAAGACAAATTGAAAGAGTTGGTCCTGCTGTGTTTCATCAAAAAGAATGGCCAACGTAGATACAAGTATCTTGTCTTAGGGAGGGATAAATCGTACTTTCTAAAAAATCATTGAAACGGACATTATCAAGATGCTGGATTTCTTGATTGACAACGTATTTGTTACTGTGGATTAATTATTATTCGTTGGATACCAATTTTCGTGGTTTTCGGGGTACAGGTGAACCACGAATTCAAATGTTTAACGAATTACACAAGTTTTCCTCAATCCACGAAAATTGATACCCACGAAAATATATGAATCCGCAGTACATTTGGAGGACGTGTTTTTCAACAAACAATCGGCATCCCCATGAGAACCAACTGTGCCTCTCTTCTTGCCGACTTGTTTCTTTGTTTATACGAGGCTGACTTCACACAGAAACTTTTTAGGAGGAAAGAAAAGAAGTTTGCAGTATCTTTTAACTTTACTTTCCGCTACATAGATGATGTTCTCTTGCCAAATAATTCAAAATTTGGTGACTATGTTGAACGCATCTATCCCATCGAACTTGAGATTAAGGATACAACAGATACAGTTAAGTTCGCCTCATATCTTGACCCCTAGTTTTTTGTGGGGTTCGTGTTGCTCAGTCTTTAGTTTTCTTTGTTGTGTTTTGTGTACTGTTATTTGTCTGTTTGTCTTTTTTCAGCCATGGCGTTGTCAGTTAATTTTCGACTTATGTGTTTGAATGTCTTGAGCCTCTCTTTTTCGGAGTTTAGTGTGACGTCCATATTCTCTGAACCAGTATACATTTTTGTTTAGAGGCCAGCTAGAGCCCGCCTCCAGGTGCGGGATATTCTCGCTGTGTTGAAGACCCATTGGTGGCCTTGAGCTGTTTTCTGCCCTTTGGTCAAGTTGTTGTCTCTTTGACACATTCCCCGTTTCCATTCTCAATTTTATCATAAAATTATAGAAAATCATCCAAACATTAAGTCTTATATAGACAAAACTCACAGTGGCGTTCTTGATTACAATGTACATGTCTATTTACATGTTTATTTTTTTTTATATAAAAACATGTATGATATTAATCTAGATAGACGTTATCCTAATATTTCTTTGTAAGAAAAAAAATAAAAGAAATTGGAAAAAAGTCAAAATAACCCACCTAAAAAATTATGCTTTTCTGGTTGTACGTTGCCCGTAGGGCCGACGCCCATTATTTCCCAGGAATGGACAGTTATTTGGACTTTCGCTAACTTTAAATTCACCTTAAATATTAAGAGCAAATCTTCAGATTATAAAACTTTTAAGAATTTTATTTCATTTGTAGTGGTTTTCTCTAATTTTCCCCGTATTGTGACCAATAATCCACAGGCAAAATGTAAGATCGAGCTGACCATTTACTCACTTAATGAAGTATTTATGAACAGAAGAATAGTTACTATAAAAAGATCTTAAAAAAGTTCATCCTAATTTTTGTTTTAAGTCATTGGATACGCACGTCTTTCTTATAGTGGGGTTGAAAGGATATTTATTTGTGTCTTTAAGGTTCTTCATAACCTTTTGACTAATATGGCCGTATTAACGCTACAAGTTGAAATTGAGTACAGACAAACCTGTGCACCTGGGAAAGTTTTAAGACATGGCAGGAACTAGATAATTAAATTTTAAATCCATTTTATGTTTCAGAAAATTATAAAATTTTCTGGATTTTGCTATTCATTTTTTTTTTTCATTCTTGCAGAAGGTGCAAAAATAAACTAAGTTGGGATAGAGGTTTGAAAAGCTCCCCTCATATAATAAATGTTGTGAGTAATATTGATTTAAATGGACAATAGATGGACAATAGACATCTGCAAACAATATGTGATTTAAACTATGTAACTGAGTGGACCGTATCAAATGAAACTCTTGTGTTTGTTTATTTGCTCTCTTCTGCAGACTGGAAAAAATGCACATCAAAATCAAGATAAGTTTTTAATTTTCTGAAACATAGACTACATATGACTTTTATATTTCTAGGTTCTGCAATGCCTTAAAACTTTCCTAGATGCATCAGTTTGTCTGTACTCATAGATTTTATGGTGTAAACACGGCCATATTTGTCAATTCCTTTTGATGAACCTTAAATGGTATTTCGGGAGAGGAAAAAAAACTAGTATTTATGCATATATGTTCATGGATTATGTATGATTTTCATTTAATATCTTAGACGTAAAATCGTCTGAGAAAAATGAATCGTACAACTAGAACAAATTTTCAGATATGTAACAACCTAGTCTAGATTATTTAACTAATAAGGGTGTGATAGATTATGAGTCATTTCAAAAACACAATGTGATTCTATATTTTAAACCATTCTATTAGATCAAATAAAATTAAATAAGAAAACAATGTTTCATGCATTACCGAATTTTTTTTCTTTCCCTTTGCTCATAACAACGAAAAGAATGTTATGCATATTTTAGATGAGTCTTAAATAGCAATACAAACAAACTGAAAATATTTTTTATTCTTCCCTTTTATCAGAAAGGAAGCTAAAAGTGTTGGAAAAAAAACCCACGTGATTAAAAATATTTCTGGATTCCGTTTTGTATGTCTTTAACTTAAGTTGAAAACTACTTTTTGGCTTCATTTAAACATTTCAAGATTAACGCCGTCATTTCCACTGCCGCTATAACTGTTATATTTGCCACTGGTCATATAACAACAGTAAATGAATTCGATTATGTTTCGCGTTTCTTTTTGAAACAGAATTAAAAAAACGCCCAAAATATAACATAAGCCTTATTCAAGTATTATTCATACCCCCTCAAATTCTAATCATTAGTACTATATTTAAATTATAACAACGCACAATCAAATAATATACCGAATACGCTATTTTGACCATTCCAGTTTCTTGAACTATTAATATTCATTCTATTAAACCACAATATTATTGTAGAAACTATCCGAGTAATTTTCCTGTTTTTATTGTACATATTTAAATGGAACAAACGATTTTTGCTGTACAAAATCAAAATACAACACTTTAAATTTCAAGGAAATGATATCTCAAACGGCAACATTAAAAGCAAGTCTTTAAGTGAAATATAGTTTGCTCTAATTTTCCTTATTGAAAAATGTTAATGTGTTCAATATTACAAAAGAATTCAACTGAGTTAACACATTTGATATTTTGTAGATACACAGAAGAGGAATAGCACTCAATGAAAAATAATCGTTTTTACCCGCTTGGCTACTATCTGTGACAGAAATGCAGCAAAGATTTGCATCGGAAAACAAATTATAGATACTGTTGTGGAATTTTAGTGAATACGCTACTATATATCATACGCTGAAATTACGACTCGCAAATAAAAGCTGTTTATTGATAATGAGATATTTGGTATTCATTGTATTACTACGATCTAAATTAAAAAAAAAAACATCCAGTATCAGCCGTATTAGAAAGTTTTAATCTTCATTCAAAATCGCGTTACGTCCTTTAGAATTATTTCCATGGGTGAACACTTTTTTAGAAAGTGCCCATGGAAATATCCAAAGGGCAAAACATCCAGATGAATGAAGATGAACAATAGAAAATAACTCTCGATTCCTGAAAAATAATGGAGAGTTTGAACAAAAGATTTACGTCACAGGTGTATTTTAACTAAAGGCCAGGAATAATTATATACCCTAATATTTTTGTAAATTATAATTATAAAAATTATATAAGGTCTATGAAACATGAGAATGATAATTCTTGGAGGAAAAACAGAAACAAAATGAATACCTGTAAACGATACACAAAATAATTGCAAGAATCACGACAAATATTGCAGCACAAATTCCTCCTATGATGGCTGTAACAAGTCCTCGTTCTTCTAAAGACTGCAAGTCTATGAAAAATATATATATTATTGACTATAATGCATCAATCATGTATATCAAACTTGAATCAACACAATGATACTGATTCCAGCTTAGTTATTCATTCTTTCATAAATTGTATTTGTACAGCAATGTTATATATTTTTTTTTTATTTTTTTCACGATTCTGTAAATAAATTTGTTTTTTACTTTTTCATCAGTTGTATTAACACTTTAAACTAGCAGTATCTAATTAAATATTATAAAAATTTCTTCTTTCTACCATTCATGTTATTTCAACTTGAATAACAAAAATCCTTTTACTACCTGCTTTCGTGCACTGAGGACCACTGAATTTATTATTACAACCATAAGTACAATTGCCTTCAAATATTTCACAGGACGTGTTTAAGCAATTGTTACAGTAATCAATACAATTCGATCCGTAATATCCCTCGCTGCATTCTACAATGAAAATTAAAATATGCATTACATGGCTTTATATCAACTTTAAAAGGTAAACAATACATGTAATTAAAAGTATCAAAAATAAATCGTCCCACAATAGAATAGTATAAAGCGCTCAACATAAAATTCTGTCCTAATTCCTCTATATATTTGTTTAGTTTGTTTCATCATATCAATTTCATCCATTACTGTTTATGAGGTTGAATTTTCTTGGAAATAAGTCAGAATTACAGAATGAAAAAGCAATGCAATGTATTTTCTGGAATGTGTGTAAAACCATCAAAGAGGGAACATGAAGCGAATCGAGAGGTCTTTGTCAAAAGCGGTAAATGAAATAAAATACGGAAATAATTCATACAGGAAATCATACAAAGCCAGATATTTTCTGTAAATAAACTCATCATAGATACCAGGGTTAAAATTGTGTACGCTAGACGCGCAATTCGTATACAAAAGACTCATTAGTGACGCTGGAATCAAAAAAGGTTAAAAAGGCCAAATAAATTACAAAGTTGAAGAGCACTGCTTCTCAGGGTGACCGTTTTATTTCGATTATATCTTATAAAACTTATAAAATCGCCATTCATTTAATATATTTGTGATCTTTAAGTATTATCTGAAATGTGTGTTCATTGTTTATTCGCTAGGAATTATCTCTATCAAAATGGATATTTGAAACAACTAATTTTTAATAGCTTCGGTATGTCATAAAAATAGAAAGACTTAAGATTTATGACTAAGTAATAAGTATTTCTATTACTTCCTTTGACAAACCTTTATTACAAGATTCCCCAGACCATCCTTTGTCACATTTGCCGTCAGGACACATTCCAGTAGATTTATCACAAGGTTCCAATCTAGAGAGACAATTGCATTTTTCTGTACAATTATCACCATAGTACATGTGCTCACATGCTAAAAATATATCGAAAAAAATTGCCATTTAAAAATACATCTTTTCTATGTATATAAAAAGTATGATGCAATATGGATCATTAATTTATAATATCGAAAGTTGTATTGAGTGTACTTTAGTGATTTTTCAATGCAAGAGGAATAAAATTAAAGGTAGTGCTTACAAAATGTCAATCGAGTACATCTTGTCGATGTCAATTAGATAGAAATAATTGTTTTATTAATAAATTAATAAACTTTTCATACGCGTAATTAATTAATCCTAACCTAAGTAAGACTCACTACGATTTATTATTAATGATCGATTCTTTCTTAAATTGATGTATGCTTCTAAATCAAAAAGAAATTTCATGGGTTTTTAAAAAAATTCTAACTCATGAATCTATTCTTATTCCTGATATTCTAGAAGCTGGAGTGTACACGATGAATCCGAATAATAAACTATATTAGAATTACCGTTTCAAAATAAGTTTATGATTTGTAATTTTTATAATCATTTTTATAACTAGACAAATGATAATAGTTAAGGTTATTATCATCACATCTGCTTGCACAAAATATTTTTGCTGAAACATAATGAAACCGGAAAAAAAAACAGAATTTGAACTATTGGAATAATCAATAGTGGTTTTTAAATCAAAGAAACCCATCTTCATACACATATGTATATTGCACGAAAGACAAGAATCGTAGAACTTTGGATTTATAAATCATACTGCATCTTTCAAATCACTGTGCAGATGAGATTCGTCGAGGACAAATTCTTGGTTATTGAAATATTAAAGCTTTCACAATATCGATATGAAGCCTTCAAAAAGTCATATTCTAGAACACATCCTATAACAGAAAATAGTATCGTGTGTATGAATCACAAATGCAAATTATATCAACATATCCTTCAAAAATACAAAACCATTGAAATAAATACATACCTTGATTACATTTTAAGTCGTGTATATATCCTGGTTTACATTTGTCTGTCACATTACAGAAGCCAGCAAAACGGTCACATAGATCAGATAAGCATCCTTCACATGACTGGGAACAATTTCTACCAAAATATCCGGTACTGCATTCTAAAATGTCAATGCATATTTGAATGATTTTATTCAGTATGGTTGGGGATGATGATAATGATTATGAATCACATACAAATGTAGTTTACCATAGACCACTTTTTGTTTATTAACAATTTTAACAAAGACATCTTGCTACGGCGATTAGTAAGAAGAATTAAGATGATTAACATATCAAACCTCCTGCACAATGTCGGGAATTGCAATATCACCATAAAATAGGAAACGTTTTGACATGATATTAAATATTACCTCATCAAATCCTTCATTCATCGCGGCACTAACATATCATGAATGTATGTTCGTAAGAAAGATTTTATTCAATAAAAAATGAAAACAACACAATATAAATTTCATGGGTCCGAAGCACTTTTTTTGAAGCCGAAAACATAAAAAAAAAACTCTGCTTTTATTAGGGAAAATAAGTTTTCTTCTCAGTTATATAATTTGACAATTTGATATCCTGCATGACCTAAGCCAAATGTCTTTTTTTTAACATTTTGTGTTTCAATTCTAAAATGATTAAGCATGTTACATACTTTTTAGATACGCAATAGCTACAATGTGAAATTTTTTTTTTCCTTTCATGGAAAACCATAGTGAGAAAACATTATTGTTATTTTCTAATGTTTTTTTTTTTTCTCAAAATAATCAAATATTAAGTAATTGTTGTTTACTGAAAGCAGAGTGTTCGGTATCTCATGCACGGCAGAAAGAGAACAATTTAAAGATTTATACAATGATTACGCAATGTGAGTTGTTTGGGATGAAGGGTTGGAAATTCCCTTTGTCATTGAAAAATTTATGGACGTTCGATATGGAGAGAAATTAGCCTTGTAACAATCAATCAAACGACCCATCAATAAAAATTTGGTTCATTCATGTGCAGTCGGTGAGGCCTTATCCCTCCATATTCATGAATCATCTGATTGAACGAGCTCATTCCAACTGAACGTGGATGTATATTCATAGAGCCAAAGAGCAAAACGGAAGCCCCCTTTTGAATATTGTTTTAACTGGTAAGAAGTCCTAGTGAAGAGTATCCCAGTCATATCTTATAGGTGTCATAAATTTAATCGTAATTGCCGGAATTGAACTGAACATCCATTAATTTCAAATTGAATTCGCACGTGTGCATAACAAATTTTAAATTGTATATAACAGCAGGTCAATGTTTTAAACACCCAATACTATAGACAGAATTGCTAGAAATGAAAACCAGTTAAACAAGTAAGGTTAATATGCCTTAAAACGATTTTCATGTTTTGGTTTCTAAATATGTGGTCTCGAGTGAGCCTACGGTTTATTCCAGGAACATGTGGTGTGCGCACGATGATCATTACGTTTTCCACAAACTGAACGACATCTATGTTTTACCTTCTGAACAGTCATAAGCTGTCCATCCTTGTTTACATCCTCCATTGCATTCCCCTGTCACATGATTACAAGATGATTTGACACAGTGAGACGAACATGTATGCACACATTGATTCCCAAATAGACCTTCACTACAGGCTAAAACAAAGTTTAAGAATGATTGAAACTTTACCATTTAACAAACTACGCTAAATAACCTGTTGCACTTTCTTTGAAGCCTAAAATATATATAAAAAGAACTTCTACTTTTATTAAGAAAAATGGGTTTTCTGCTCAGTTATATTTGAAGAACTTCATCATTCTTGTTTTATACATATATAGACATACATGTAATGTTTTAATGAACAATTACAAACTTTTACAATTTTTGCTTTTTCCTAATTATTTACGGTATTATTCTTAACATAGGCTTACTTTTATTGCACCTATTACCGACCCAACCATCAGTACAACCAAATGTGCAGTGTCCACTAACTAAGTCACACGATCCTGATATACAGTTTTCTGAACATTTCATTCCACAGTATACTCCGTATGTTCCTAAAGGGCAACCTGTTGTAGGAAACATCATTTATAATATAGATTGAAGTGGTTTAGAAGCCTACAAACTTAACTGGTTTAAGATGTAATTTTGTTATAGTCAAGAAAACTAGTACTGTTGAATTGCATATGATCCGTTCTGTTGAGTTGCACATAAGCCGTACACTGTTGGGTTACATGTGAGCCGTTGACGTTATAAAAGGAATGAATATATTTATATCTTTCTGTATACTAGTATTTCAGTGTGTACATCATTTTCAAAATTAATTTATTAATAAAATACAAGTTGATGGATGAACTGATAAAATATGATTCAGCTAAACTTGCTTACTAATAGTGAGCCTAGTATATTTTGACCCAGATTTTTTGCGAGGTTTGAGTTAATTAATCATTTCTGTAGTTGAAAATTTATGTTGGATATAAAAATAAGATGTGGTATGCTTGCCAATGAGACAATTCTCCACAAGAGACCAAATGAAACAGAAATTAACAACTATAGGTCACCGTACGGCATTCACGGAGGTTGTTTTGTGCTTTCCTTCTTTGAACTGGCCTATTTTTAGTTGTTTGACCTCTTTAAAGCAAATTACTATCTTAAAATTGATGTTAGGTTTTCGTTATAAGCAATATAGTCCTACTATATCATTTTCACACTATCTGTTCAATTTTTGTTTCATACAGTAGGCGCGTAGAGAAAACGATATATCATTCCTGTGATGGAGGAATTAATTTTTGCACTTACCACCAATTTCTATTTCACACAAATCTACCCTTGAAGTGCCTCTTATAGTTGGTGGTACATAAATTACATATCTGCAGACAGCAGTTACGTAGATATCTTCTGTCGGACGTTCACCATTGTATATTTCTATTGCGTTATTCCAGGAGTCACTCGTGTTTGAACAATATACTGAATAGTTACTGTTGTTAAATTGTGCAGATTCTGTTTAGAAATTGTATAAATATTATTTATGTTTTTTTGCTGTTTTGTTCTCGGATAGATAAAAACATTCTACACGTAATTTACAGTACTGTCAGGAGCATTGCTGATAAACATGTAAATATAGTCATTTTAAAGTATGTATAATACAAGTATGCATTTGAGACATAAGAGCCATATATGATATGATCAATGTAACTCGGTTATTTAGATTTTTAAACATTCAAAATAAATAAATCTGTCATTAAAAGACGATTGGCTTGTTAATAAAATTTAGTTGGCATGACTATAAAAGGACCAAAGACGTACAATATTAAACGACACAAGAATGTTCGAAGTCGGTCACCATATGATTATTTCATATCATTTAAACGAAAATGTATGTATCAACATCATATAGTTTAATAAGAAAAATCTATGTGTTAGAAATTGGAGATTTTATGATTTTAAGACAAATTCAAGAAGGTTTTTCGCTGATTTTATGTGCTTTCTATACAAATGTTCTCCTATTTTGAAAGAATTCAATCAGTAATATTTCAGATATTAAAAGAGATATATGCATTATTTTTTCGATTTTCAGTTATAGTTCAACGAGCCAAAGTTGTATGCTTAATTTTAGCAAAATCTGGGACATAGCTCATTTACTGTTCCTTGACCTTATTTGTATGGCCGTAGTGATGTCATAATAATCAAGTATTTATTTTGTTTTACAATCTTATATTTGTTCACTCTTTCACAACATATGCATACATTTAGTAATTGAAAACGTACTGATTAAATTTGGAAGCTTTTACAGTAAGATAAGGAGATAAGACAACCCTATTGTTTGTCACCTGACAATTGGATATTTGTCATAAACGGACTGTAACAGTAGAACACGTCAGGAATCACTTGTTGAGCAAAACTTCCTGGGAAAACTTGCTACATAATATATTTAAAATGAAACATAAATCACATCTCTATGGTAACTTACCACCAAGAGTAATATAAATCATGGTAATGATACTCATTAAACCAGTGTCAACCTGGAGAAAGGAGTTAGATCCAGATGTCATTGAACAGATACCGGTCCGGTTTCCATCAACCGACAGAAATGCTGGATGATTTGTTTTCGATGGTGTTTGAGTTGCTATTCCATTAGAAGCAAGATTATCTGTAAGGGACATATATGTATGAATAATAGCGATTCCTTATATAATTAGTGTCAAGAAAACGTAAACGGTCTTTAAGTATTTGATGTACCAATGCAAAATTAGAATTAAACACATTTTCTAATACAATTTATATCTTTAATTTAAAGTTCATTAAATAAACAAAGGACTCACAGCTAGTGTTATTACAGTACTGTCCAATAAGTCCAGCTTTACATCCTTCTGTGCATATACTGGTGATCATATCACAAGTGTCATGGAGGCAATCACATCCCCAAACGCAGGAACCATTTCCAGGATAGCAGTGATTGGATATGCAGTTAGCAGGACAGGGATTTAAACAATTAACTCCCCATGTACCTTTCCAGCATCCTACGAGAAAAACGTATAGATGGATCATTACGATATTTGTCTAGCTTATACCAAGATTTGACCATGACTTTTCTGTTGTGTGATACATCATCACATATGGAATTTCACAGATATTGAATGAAATTTAAGGTACCTCGTTCTGGTCAGCTTACAATTTGGGCTTTCTTTGGTACCAAATATGTGTTTGTCTCATAACGTTAGATGATTATTGCACGTCTTTTGCTTTTCTAAGACTGGTTTTTTTTTATTGAAAATTAGGATAATATAAAAAAAAACGATAGAGAGGGGGGAGTATAGTAAAAAAAAACACATTATTATTGTCTCTTTTAGTGAAAGTTTTAATTTTTATAAAACTACGTTTAACTTAGTTATACATGTTCTAATGCTAAATGAATCAGATGACACAATCTGGACACTTTAGTTCTGACATGTCAATTATGATGACTTCATCAGCTCTCCAACGTTTGCATTGCTTTTGGTTTATCAAACATTTTGGCCTCTAGCATCACTGCATACACATTTGTTGTAATAAATGCGCACCTAGTGCACTAAAATTGGCACCGTTGAGGTATTCCTAAACCTATAGAAGAATTCGAAGAAATTGACATATAGAAACAATGCTATTGGTCAAATCAGCTCTTTTAAGAATCCTCTACCCAAAATGGTATTTTACCTGCCTTCAAATCTTTCAGCCAATAACGAACTTGAGTTTGAACTGTTAGCGAAAATAGTTAATAAAAATAGCCTTCGTACTATGGATAACCATCATTAATTATGTCATACCCTCAGAACAATTCAAAAAAATATGAGTCTATGAAAACAGCTCGAGGGAAAGTATTTTATGGAAAGTTTGATAATAATGCGACGTAGTTTGACAATGCTACGGACAGAGTTACCATTAAGCATTTGATTGTATTTGGATTCCAAAAAAGATGCATACCCAAGAATGGAGTTGAGGATACTGATGTGTAATACAGTATATAGAACAATTTATTATTGAAAATACCAACCGTATATTGCTATATAGCACAGTTCTACAAAGGCACCTTCTCCGTTTTGTCCTATGCTTGATCTATTGTTGAAGAAATACACATTTTTGGTGATTGTATTACAGTCGATATCCTGGGTTGTGTTGGGTAATTCTGTTATCAGAAGATCTGTGTAACATAACAATTTATCCCCAGCATCAACTGTTCCATTGGACATATACAAGCTAAAGCCATTCATTCGATCTGGTCCTACGTTAAACAAATATATGTTTTTGTTAACTTTGATTTGTGCTCGATATTAAATTATATTTCGATAAATAATATAAAATATTTCAGAAAAAACACTTTCTAAAATTGAATAATTAGAGATGTATAGTAAACCGATCATTAAAATATACATTTAACCAATCAAAAATGTAAACAACATTAACTTTATAAGAGTGTAAATACAAAATTCACATGAGTGACAATCAGGGCACAAACTTTAAATGAAATTAATTCTAATTACGAAAGGTCGGCTATACTTGAACGAAAGGCAAACACTGTCGATATTACCGATTGCATATCATAACATACCATGGATGTTCAAGTTTTCTTAGTGTTCAAACATTCGTAATCAATTTATCAGAAATTACTACCAAAAGATACTACGAATAGGAATTTCCACAAATTAACCAGTGGTATATACGAAGAAAGTGCATTTCAAAATATCGGTGTATAAAGTACTTTACCGAATTATAGATTTTACTTTTACGAATCTGCACCATTTCTTCTATATAAACGAATAGACATCAACATTTGAAAAATACATTCCACAATAAGATTGTGCACAAATATTTCTTCAGAAAAGAAAAGAAATAATAAAAATGAACTCTTTGGTTCATATTTTAAGATGTTGATAAGGTAATGAATAGCCAGTTAAAAATTTAGTGGTTAAAAAGTCTTCCTCTTTAAAACTGAGACATGGAAATGTTTATCTCAAATTTTCTGCCGAAAATTGGGGTTGCGGTCTCTATGCCGAAATGATTTGCCCGTATTATTAATTGTATACAATATTTGCCTTTAAATATGATAATAATGGGTTCATTTCTGGTAAAAATCTTGTGACATGTAACTAATCGGAGAAGTTCATTCTCAAATTGCCCGATATGAATATTGACAAAGAACAAATCACTATCTCTAAGGCAAAAGGGGTGGCGGATTCCTTACAACATAGGTATATACGCTCTTGTGTGTAATATTTGTTTTATCCAGTATTTTATAAAGTTCTTTGCAATTTTGTCGATGAAAATGTTTAAAAAATAACATTGCACATACCAGAAAAGTGGACGCCGATAGTAAATCTCGCAAAATGTAAAGGTTACATTATCATCAATTTCATAAAGCTCAATTTTAAAATTGACATAAATTCATATTTCAAAAACTTCTAATACTTACTGGTATTCCTATAGTATATTTGAACATTAGTCACGTAAACTACTTCAGGGAGTTCCAAACCCCACCATGCCGTAAGCTGATTTGCACCTGTATGTGAACATCCACCGCTCCATTCGTTATTTATTTGTCCTGTAATGGCGTAGCTTGCACTATATACATAATATGTTGAACTCTGTGTCACTTTTCCTTTTAGTGCCAAGTTTTCTGGAATTTATTTAATTAACATTTTGATTTGTATACCCTGTCACATGCGATGATGTATTTTGTAACGAAATTTATTAACCATTTAAAGTTTGCTTTCAAACATTTATAATTATCAATTTCGCGGGTCAACACTTTTGTTTTCAAATATAAGTAGTCTGTATGTATTTATTATACGGAATAGAATACTTCACGTTTTTCAGTAAACGTGTGTTTAACTTGAACGTATTAAACATGTTAAAGGAACCTCAGTAGTAAAAAAGGTGACTTGTTTAAACAAAAATGGTCTCCTGGACAATGGTTGTAAATTTAGTTTCGATGAATCTTCAATACGCAGAAAATGATACGTTAAATCAGATGCCTCATGTTTGAACTGTTACTACTGTTGTTCTTCATGATTGATAATTTATCTAACGAAAAACGACGGGTCGATAGGCGGAAGGAAAGATAGGAATGAGGGGTCGGGAAGCGGGATTCATGGGCGGAAACTGCGAAAAGAGGGGAAAAAGGGATAAGCTGGACATGTTTTTTGATTGATTTTCGTCTGGAAGTAATGGGGAGTGAAGTGTAAGCGTGGATGGTAATTGAGAATAGGGAGAGGGCAGAGCGAGTTGAGGGTAGAAACCCACTGTCCAACTTCTCAATAAATGTTTTTGAAACTTTTGAATAACGAAAGAAAATTATCCGTTTATCAACGGGCCGGCCAAGAGGAGAGCCTTCGGATCGATCAAAACTATAAAAGGTCTGATTTATTCTTCCCATGAACATGATGAACTTTCTATGTGTTTGATAAAATAAACTGCATAAACATAGATTAAGTACTTAGACGGCCAATTAGAAAATCGTCAATATTCAATAATAATGCATCGCAACTAAGACATGTAAGAGTAGATGAATTAGTCAAGTACCTGTCTAAGTTTCCAATTTCACAAGAATAGTTGAAGAGTTAGAACCTTTTTATAAAGGTTTATGAACTGGATGTTCCTTTATAGGCAATAATATAGATTCTTGACTAGCTTTCTCAATTTGAAAACAGATTTTTTTGTATAATTTCTGACTTTAAAAAAGAATGTTCACGAATAAAAGATATTTGATATAGTGGCGGAATAACTAAATAATGATTTGGTAAGACTCTTGTGCAATGTCTAACGTTATTTCAAAGATTACCAAAGACGGGTGCCACATGTGGAGCAAGATCTGCTTACTCTTCCGGAGCACCTGAGATCACCCCAGTTTTTGGTGGGGTTCGTGTTGCTCAGTCTTTGGTTTTCTATGTTGTGTTTTGTGTACTTTTGTTTTTTCTGTTGGTCTTTTTCTTTTTTAGCCAATGCGTTGTCGGTTTATTTTTTACTTATGAGTTTGAATGTCCCTTTGGTATCTTTCGCCTCTCTTTCAAAATGCACTATAAAACTCACATTGCTTTGATATGAATTAAATGCGTAGATCTAATGATTAAAATCTTTAATTTCAATAAAACCTGCAATAAAGGCTATTTTCAACTTGCAGAGAGATGTGAATTTGATTGAAGACCTCAGCTTGACGTTGTGATGAAGAACAGCAAAAATGAGCTGTTCATTTGCATTTGGTATTGTTAACGTATATGTGGATTTTTTAATGAAATTATTCTTGATATACTTTCTTTTCCAGTTGATAATGTACAATTGACCCTAATGTTGTTGTGATTTTCATTACAATTACATGTAAAGTCTGTTGGAATTATGGTAGATTGGTGGAGTAAGAAAAATTGGCGATGATGAATGGCTGTTTAATTTCCAGCAGCAAATTAAATACAATTTCTGGACAAGAACATGTTAATGGGATATGAATATTATTCCTGCTTTGTACTAGAATAATGAGTCACATTGTAACGAGCTAATTCAGAAGTTAACATTCCATAGTTAGGCATGTCACGCTACCTTGATACACCATTCTATGTTCGAGCCGACTAGTCGTTGTTATTACTTCGTAATGATGCGTGCTTAGCTGAGAAGCATTCCAATTTTTCAGTTTTTTTGAAATGACCCGGCCAGGGTTCGAACCCACGACCTTTCGCACTTGAGGCAAAAACGTTTCTCCGAGATCATTGAGTTGATATATTACGTAAGTATGAGTTTGTTTTTTTAATTTTGTTAATTTGATTGTTTCGGAGTTTAGTATAGCGTCCATTTCGCTGGACTAGTATACATTATTGTTAAGGGGCCTGCTGAAGCAAGCCCACCTCCGGGAGCGCGATTTTCTCGCTGCGTTGAAGACCCATTGGTGTCCTTGGGCTGTTTTCTGCTCTTTGGTCGGGCTGTTGTCCCTTTGACACATTCCCCATTTTCATTCTTTAGTCTATGAGAGCCATGTTTATAACATTTAAAACAAATAAAATCAAAGGATCAACAACATCAATTGGTTCACTACATAACGAAACGGTACGGGGAAAATAAAAAGTAGACAAGATACCCATAGACGTAGAGTTTCATCTTTGCACATGATGACGTATTATATTTATCAATCTTATCTTAAAATTAAACAAAATAAACGGTTCTGTAATAAACATAACACAATATCCGTAGTGCTAATGCTTTTTGATATATAATGTCTACAAGAACAAGATTGTATATACTGCAACTAGTTGTTCTCTCGTCAACAACGACATCCTGGAACTCGCTAACTGTTGCACTACAGTTCATCTCTTCTCTCCTTAAAATTTCTTTTTTAAGTAAATGTAATATTAAACCTGTTTTTACTATTGTGGATCCATACCTGGTCAAATATATCCTGCAAGAACATGAATAAACTGTACCTTCCAAGGATATCTATAACAGAAACTTGATACAACCCAAAATGTGCTTTTGTAGAAATTTAATCAACTGAACATTATGTATAAAGATACAAAACATTTAATGTATATTGAATAAGTCTTACAATCGGATTTCTACCATTATAAAAATAAGAAGATATGGTATGCTTGCCAATGAGACATCTCTCCACGATAGACCAAATATCTTAGAAGTTAACAGCTATAGGTCACCATATTAAGATAAGGAGATGAGCTATGATTGCCAATGAGACAACTATCCACCAAAGTTCAAATAAAATGGATTTAAGCAATTATAGGCAACTGTACGGCCTTCGACAATGCGAAAAACCCATACCGTATAGTTGGCTATCAAAGGCCATTTTAACAGTTACTTTTTGCTCCGATAGACCATACATAGATCAAAACAATTTTCAATTTAAAGTTTTGCAAACTTTATAATGCGTATCAATCTATATTCAAATCTACAATATGATATCTTTATTAAATTTTCCCTGTACTTTATGAAATCACAGTGTATTTTTTCTAAACTCTTTCCTTTTACCCTCTGATCTAACTTTTTATGTATATAAACTCACATGAAACATCCGATAATGATCTTTACGTTATAGTTTATTGTTCACAAATGTACTTTTTTTATACATATTCGCCTACCTCTCATGTAAATACAAATGTTTTATTTTAATTATATTTGTGTCTATATTTGTTTAAAACACTTCTTTTGTTTCTTAATGCATTTTTAAATTGTTTGTTTAGTAGTATGTTGTATTTATTCATCAATAAAACATGTTAAC